CTTTCAAACAATTTTAAATTAGTAATATCCTTTCCACCAACACACTAATTAACATTTAGCAAACAACAAAAGGAATTTTAAAACTTCTTTATTGACTAATAAATTATATATAATGTGTTTAAAACATTGATTTATGGTAAATGTAATATTCAAATAAGAATGGAGTGCATAAAATTCGTTATTTAATTAATGTGTTCTTTAAAAAGGGACAAATTTAACTAACATTGCTTTTCCATTTCAAATACTTAGCATGGAGATTTTTTAAACCGGGAATGTTTACTATAATTAAATAAAAAGAGTAGGATTAAATTAAATATTATATATAATAAAGACAATCAAGATATAAAGTTATCGATTTGCAGATGCTTACTGATAGCAATAAAGAAAATAATCTTAAATATCATTGCAGGTTTGATCAAAAAGAATGGTAATCTAGAAAGGATTAAGAAATAATTTTCTTTATTTAAATTAATATTCATTAGAATAATATTTATTATAGTAAACAAAAGATGTATTGATAAATCAAAAAGGGAAGAAGCACTTTAGTACAGAAATTAATAATCTTGCATAATATAAAAATTGGATTGATAGATATTAACAATAAAAGATAGAAGAATTCAAAAGTTTTATCAAGTGTTAGGTAATGATTCTTTTATCAAGCATATCGATCCTATTTCACCCCATAAACTTTATAGAGGTGATGAGTACCGCTAATTCAACTGTTATTCTAAATAAAATATATACCATAAACTATATTGAGCCTATAAAGAGGAAAATACCAATAGCGGCAGTATTAAGCTAAAAAATATTAATATTAAATAAACCAGATGATAAATTTATTGGTTAATTATATTTAATTTTTTCGGTCTTAGTGTCAAATTATAAGGAATAACTAATGTACTTCATACGCAAAGATAAGGTAGAGATTAAATCTGGAGGAGATCAACTTAATGTATTATAATAATTGTAATGATGATCAAGATATCGTAGGTCATTATAGAAAAAGGTGTTTCTGGATATTAAATAGAAATTTAGTGAAAGAAACAAATTGGTCTATATCATAATATATATAATATGAATTGAAGTGCATCAGTAAAACTTCAAATTTCTCAATAGCTTTATTAAATTGTATTTCTTTAAGCAAGAAGAGTAGTTTTCTGAAAATTACTGTTTCATTATTTTTGGAAATCCTTTTTTCAATTTATGAATGGCAACATTTGAGTATAAACTATTATAAATATCTGAATCTACTCTTTACAATTAAGCTCCTTAATAAGATTATGAGAAAAAAAATTAATAATACTTAAGTACAAAAACAAAAGAATTTATGAATAAGGTATAATTATCTGATTTGGATGGAGTTAATTCAAATACTTCTTACCTTTCATCGAAGTTTAATTACAAAAGAATTGTATTTTTTTTTAGCATTTAATGTCATTGTAAGTAGAATTTTAGGGCATCTGAATAAATGCAGTTAGTGTTATTACAATTATCTAAACTTATTTTCTGATTATTAATTGTGACAGATTTATTGTTAAATTAAATTAATAATTTATTATAAATTTATTTATGATAACTCATAAAATAATATTTTCCTTAAAACTATAGATGCTAGAAATTAGAAATTATACAGCTTTTTAAACAAAATTGTGAATTAAAGATAATTTTATTACATAATTGAGTCTTTGGTAAAATAAAATTGTTTTTTTCAACTTAGAAATTATGCAAATAATTTACAAAATAATAGATATAATATTTAGAGAAGTCTCCTTGGAGTTATATAATAGGTAATTTGAAGGTTTGAATAAAAGAAGAAAACTATTATTAATAATTAAAAATAACAAAATTAGTATGAATAGAAGAAGTTTAGATATGTTAATAAATAACCAATTATTAATAGGATTGTATCTATAAAGCAATAGTAAGTTTTGGATGATTCAAAAATAGAATAAACAGAAATAAATATGATAACAGATTTATTGGTTTCATATTTTTAATTTTGTTAAGAAGAATATTGGGATTCAGTCCCAAACACTATTGTAACCTTCTATGTGAATTAATCTAGACATTTTTGTCAAAGTGAGTAAATAAGATATAATAAGACATCTTAGATGAGTTATTATAGAAGAATTAATTTATATAGAAATCAAGGGCATAGTCAAAATGAACTTTTATTAGTATGAAAACCTACCAAACCATCACATAGTTATTTAAAGTGTATTGTGAATGGCATAATTCAGGTCTCTAAAATAAAGACAATAAATATTCATTATCTACTTTACTATCTTTTCTTATCAGATAATCATCAATTTTCTACTGATTTCCCTCTTCATAATATACTATTTGAGCTATATTGTAATTCTTTGGCAATGAAATTTCAATAGTATATTATGTTCCTTCTTTCTTATATTAATATATTCAATAAATATATATTTTAAATCAAATTTAGATTTTGGGAAGTAAAGAAAGATATTCAATAAAGAAATATCAATAATATACATATACTATGTATAAAAATTATATGTTTAACTTCTTTTATTAATATCACTTTAATTTCATTGTTTAATTAATATAAAATATTCTATATCTCATAATCTTTAAGAATTTGGTAATGAATAACTTCTTGTCAAAACAAAAAGATTTTCATTTTGTTTTTGATTTCTTATAATTGATACAAGTACTTCTGCGGGTATAAATTTTAAAATTTTATTAATATTTTTATTTATAAAAAAAATTGGATAAAACTGGCAAGATGAGCAACAATAGTTTAATGGAACACAATAACGTTTGCGCTTTTGAGCATTATTTAACAAGCTAGGTACAATTATTCAATAGAATATTTTTAGGAATTTAAAATTGCTTATAAAATTGAAGAGGCATTATAAGAAATTAATATTGCTTTGAATCTTAATCCTAAATTTGCAGAAGCTTACACTTTAAGAGGTTTAATATTTTAAATTTAAATTTAGGAGAATTATATGAAAAAATGAAATTATATGATTAGGCATTGGACGATGTAAATTTTAGTATATCAATAAATAATAATAATGCTGAAAGCTATTATTAAAGAGGTAAAACTTTAATCTTATTTTTTAAGCAACAATTTGTTACAGAAAAAAATAATTTGACCAAGCTTTATAGGATTGTATGAAATGCATTTAGATAGACATAAATTTTGCTTTAGCTTATTGAAAAATTGGTAAAAGAATAAATATCAATTTTTAGGTACAATTATGTATGATTTAAACTAAAAAGACAAAGAAATCTTATATTATAATTAAGCTATAGAAAAAGATTATAATTGTTATTTTGCTTTTATGTGTAGAGGTAATAGAAAATTTTACAAAAAGTTTTGTATTATAAAGATAATAAAATGTATGATTATGCTCTTAGAGATTTAAATTAAGCAATTCAAATTAATAATAATTATAAATTGGGTTACTAAAATAGGGGTGAATATCATAATAACTAATATTTTAGGCAGATTATATAAAAAAATTGGTGATTACTAGAAAGCATTAAGTGATTATAATTTAGAAATTCAATTTAATCCTAAAGATGTAATAACATACTGCAATAGAGGTAGTTACTATTATAGTTAATATTTAGGCAGTTTATACCAGCATATTGGTGATAGTTAATAAGCACTAAGCGATTATAATTCAGTAATCTAACTTGATCCAAAAGATGCAATAACATACTACGATAGATGTAATTGCTATTGCAGTTAATAATTTTAGGCATTTTTTATCAGAATATTGGTGATAACTAATAAGCACTTAACGATTACAATTCAGCAATCCAAATTGATCAAAATTTTGTAGTTTTTTGGTTTTGTAAAGGTAAATTATGCTATAATTTAGGTGTCGTTTTAACTTTTTTATAAGATAATGTATTAACACATAAATTAAAGCAATTTATAGATGTTATTTAATGTTATGATAAAGTTCTTTCAATTACGATCAATCCGATAACATTTAGGTGAAAAGGTATTATAATCTTAATATAAATATAGCTGATTCACTAGTGGAGTTAGGGAATAAAAAGCAAGCTAAATAATGTTATTTTTCTGCTTTGGAAATAGGATCAGATGAGGAAGATTTAATATAGTAATAGCTATTAAAGTTAAAAAGCATCATCATATGATAAATTTCATATTATCAAATTAAATAATTTATCTTATTCAACTTTTTCCTTTTTTAGTCGATTTCGTGCTACTCTAAAATTCTTTCTTTATTGTTATATTCACTTAAAAATCGATGTTTCAAAATAATGTTTTAGAAATTTTGAAGTATTAAGCCTTAATTTTATTCAAATTTAAAGTGATATTAAAAAAATACTATCGGAAAAATTGAAGATTTTTTTTAAATCTTCTATTTAAGTTTGAAAATAAATAGAATAAAGCATTAAGAGAATTGCTTGGTAATCTTCCCATTAAAATAATTTCACCCTCTGATATCTAGAATCAAACAAAAACTGTTGAATTAGGTTACTCCTAAGAAGTTTATTTATAATCAGAACAATTTATTGAACAATTGACTTATTGCATTAACTTTGTTTAAATTAACAAAAAATTACTTCTTAATTAATTACCTCAGTACTAAATTATTTTGTAATTTTTAGAATCTGTTAAGGAATCAATGTGACATAGGCTGATCCAATCATACTGATAAAAGTAAGAACATCAACTTAAAATTCTAATAATTTAAGTGTAGCTGATATATTTAATGTAAATTTATATATTAAAATTATTAATGATAATTAAATATGATCAAAAATATTGTTGAATTTAACATTAACATAT